TCAGGGCCCAGCTGACAGTGCTCACCAGGACCTTGCCACCTCCTTCTCCACAGCTGCATCTCCTTCCTCAGGTGAACCCAGCTCAGCCACAGGTGAAGGCTGGGGAGTGAGAAGCAGCTGGCAGAGGGAGGCTCCAGCAGAGACGGGTCTGCCGTGGCAGCCAGGGAGGCTTTGCTGAAACACAACACGGCAGCAGTTGCCTGAGTTTGCGTAAGTGAAAAGGCTGATGGGCAAAATACCTGGCCCCACGGAGTTAAAGAAGTAGCTCTTGAAAAAGAAGGGCCTACCACATTCTCCTGTGAGTAGCTGGGTGGTCAGGGGCCAGCTCTGCTCCAGGATGAATGCTGTACTGTCAGAGGGAAGGGCAGTCTGGGGAATGGGGGGATCCTCCACTGCAGGACTGTGGGTTTCTGCTTTGTAGAGAGGCAGAGCACTGGACTGCAAGCACAGATGCAGGAGTGCTCAGCCCATGGTAAACCTGTGCTCCCCTGCTGCCCACCACTTGCAGGCCTAACATGGAGGCACTGGAAAACTACTGAAAGCCCTCATTAGAGTTGGAAGGGACCTCTGATCTAGTCCAATCACCATGCCAAGCCAGGGTCACCTACAGTAGGTGACACAGGAATGGGTTTTGAATTTCTCCACAGAGGAGGTCTCCAGGATCCCCCCCGGAGCAGCCTGTTCTCATACTCTACCACACTCAAAATAAATAAGTTCTTCCTCATGTTGAGGTGAAACTTCTTCTGTTTTAGTTTATGGCCAATACTCCTCATCCTGTTGCTGGGCACCACTGAAAAGAGTCAGACACCATCCTCTTGGTGCCCACCTTCGAGATATTTATATGCGTCAATGAGATCCCCCTCAGTATTCTCCAGACTAAACAGACCCAGTTCCCGTAGCCTCTCCTCTTAAGAGAGATACTCCAGACCCCTCATCATCTTTGTTGCCCTCCGCTGGGCCCTCTTTCTTGTCCTGAGGAGCCAGAACTGGACACAGCACTCCAGAAAATGGGATGGCAGCAAAGCCTCCACTGATTTGAGTGGGACCTGCAAGACAGTTCAGGCCAAAGCCTGTGTGTTTCATACACCCGGCAGAGAACGAAAGAATGCGGGAAACCTCCCGATTCAACCTTTCATCCCACATAGGCCCGCTCCACACCCAGGTTGGCTCGCACCCCGCGACCACGCCACCCCCGATCCCTCCTCAGCCTCGGGCGGCCGGTCCGGCGGCTCCTCGCTGGGGTCCGCGGCGCTGCCCCCGCCCCGGCCGGGCCGCTCCGCCCCGATGAGGAGCGGCGGCTGCGCGGCCCGCGGGATCGCCGCCGCCGCCATGCTGCCCAACACCGGGTAAGGTGCCCCGGCCGGCCTGGGCTCCCCGCTCCGCAGGGCCGGGCCGGGGGGACGCCCCGGCACAGCCGCGGCTGCTCGGCCGCCGCAGGGCCCTCGGGGCGGGCTGGGCTGGGCTGGGCTGGGGCCGCCGCGGGGGCTCGCGGGACGCTCCCGTGCGCGGTGCTGCCCTCCCCTCGGTGCGGGGCCAGCCGGGAGCGGGCGGTGGTAGCGCAGGACACCGTGTCCCGGTGGCCGTGGGGAGCAGCTCGGGGGCTGTGCCGGCCGAGGGTGCCCGGGACCCTCGGGGCGAGCGCTTCGTGCCGGTGCCCCTTAGCGGCGCGTTTTGCAGTGGAAATTGTTACTGGAGGGTTTTAACGTAGATTCGGCAGTGTATCTGTAACTTTATGCATGTAAAACTATTCTTCCCTGTCTTGTGCCAAGCCAGTACCTGCTTACCTGGCAGTCAAATTTTTTTCCAGTATAGGATCTTTTCTACCTTTTAGCCTTTCAGAGGCCAACACTGCTAACAGCTAGGAAGATAAATTGTTATTATTTTTTCCTGTATGTTATAAACAGGATTATTCATTAAAATCCTAGGGTCTACGTGAGCTCTAAACAGTGTCCCTGATGTGACTTGCAGGTTTCTGCATTACCAGTCATTCCTTGTGGGAAAGGAACCTATCTTATTGTCTTTCAAGATCCCCAGGACTGCAGGGCACAGAGATGAATTCGACATTTTCTGTCTTATTTCCAGAATTCAGCCGTGATGGAAACAATACATATGCAACCTTCACAATACAGGTCGTAAACAATTTTGGACAGGCACATGCTTTATAAACTTGTAAACTATTGGGCCGCTAAGCGAACTAAGAAATAAACCCAAAGTCTTACAAGTATGACTTAACAAACCACCACCTCTAAGCCTGACCAAC